ATGGCTGTCAACGACAATGCAAGGTGGAAAAATAATTTGTTAGGTTAGGTAGACCCACCACCTCACACTCCTGACATCCATGTTACTTTTTCATGTTCTGCAGGCAATTAAAAATCTTGATTATTTATGGGAATTTCTACAGTTCTGTACATTGAAATTACAATATTCTTTCCATTTGATTTAAGTATTACAATTCATGATAAAAGTAACCTTCAAATATTTTCTCCCTGTCTTTTATTGTTAGTGATGACAAATCTCATGTGTGTGACCTTAAAAATTACATTCCAGTATTTGGTTGTCCGGTCGCCATGTATGTCCTGTGCCAATTTATCATCAAAGTTGGTGTTCCTGTTGGGGATTAAACCCCTATCGCCCAGCCTATAGCCTGACAGAAAACTGATTGAACTACCAGGTCCACAATGGCAAATTTGTGGTCACGCTTTTTTTCAGAGCTTTAATGTTACTATTATGGTCAAAGTAATTGTAGAGACAAATTGGTCAGGAATTTCAGAAGTGGTTTTTCAGTTTAGGGTTGACTTAAAGATTTCTTTACTTTCAAAATACCACTACAGAATGTTGAAAACAAAATAACAAACATGCGAACATGTCATATTTTTAAATGCTGATATTATTACGTATAGCTTATTTTGAAACTTCAATTTAAACTGTATTCCTGGTTGCAGTTTAAGTGAGTAATTTAAATTACTTATTATATTAGTTCAATATAATGATTTGAGCTCTCCCACCGGCTCGCAGACTTTTTCATTTAATGTATTACAGGTTTGCACTATGCTGATGATAAAACATTTGGAATTGTCTTATCTCTGACGTGGAATCAAAACATAGGGACATACCGGAGACAGGAGCCTGTGTCTTCGTAAATACTGATTCCTCAGCCTCCTTCGTTCGTTGTCAGCCTTCCTCAATAGCTACCCTCCACGTCTGAAAGCCTTCCTCTCCATCCGTCAACCAGCCTCGAATGAAGAAAAATTAAGTTTTTAAGAACTAAAAGTGATATGTCGGCAAGAAAACTTATGGTTCTGTTTACATACCCTCATGATGTGCATTTCCTGTAACAAAAATAGGTTCGCACTCGGAGCAGTTTGATATCTGTCTCAATGTTAATGGACTCTTCCCGAAAGCGGGGTCTGCCACAGGACTTTCTAACGCATACATGCTTCCAAACGGCCAATTTTCCATCCAAAGACCTATGGGCTCATTCAGTTCTCTAGGTCCTGCAAGAGGCGGTGGATTCGGTTGACCATCGTTGAGGACCTCAACATCATTTGGAGGTCTCAGTGGTGGTTTTGACAGTTCCCCTTAGGGGCCATCCAATGCATACCTGCCACCACGTAGAGACAGTGGAGATTTTAGACCTCAAAGTACTGAATTTGGTAACCAAACACCATCAAGTCTAGAATGATATATCATCAATGGCGCGCCACAGTTCTTTGATCAAAGTGCTGGTCTGGGACCTTTCCAAGGATTTCCTAGTGGACCAGTTAATGTGCCAGTATCTGGAGGTAGGAGATATGGTCAAGGAACCTGGTACTTACGATTCCTCAGCATTCGAAATGAACGTGTTTGGTGGAAAAGGACCTTCTGCAAAGTATGGTGCACCAGATTCTAGACGTAGTGGATTTGGTGGTCAAAGATCTTCTGGGAAAGAACCTTCAGGAACGTATGATGCAACATCTTCTGGAGGTAGTGGATTCAGTGGACCTTATGAAGGAAAACGGTTTGGAGGAAGGCCTTTGAGTGCTGATGGAGCTCCATCCTCAAGTTCTGGAGATCCCTCAAATATTTACTTACCGACTGCTGGTGGTGTGGGAAAGCCTTCAGAACTTTCTGGTGGTTTTGACACTCAAGTTCAAGAATACCCTTTAGCTCTCATGAAGTTCCAGGACTGAGTGGAGGATATAACGGTTCTCCCAATGGTCTGTCAAACACATACCTTCCATCATCGGGTGGTTTACTTGGTCACGGACCATCTAGAAACAATTTTCAGGAACGTACAGTTCATCAAATGCAGGTGGACCAAGCAAGGAACTAGGAAGATTCTCTGGCGGCAATGGTAGTGGTTTCAGTGTACAGAGACCTTCAGAATTATTTGGACCACAGCTGCAGGTGGCCCAAGTTGTGGACCAAGTACACTCACAGGCATTGCAGGTGGCTTTAATGGACCCTCTAATGCATATATCTACCTCCAACTTCCAGTTTTAATTATCAGGGATCTTCTGGAAGTGGCACTTTTGGTGGTCTGAGACATGGAGGAAATGATGTTGGCAGTGTATCTGGTTCGTATAGACCTCCAAATACTATTACTGACACTAATTTCTGTGCGTCACTTGACAGTCCATTCAGTAACTGTGACTCTCCTGGCACTGCCAGTCGAAGTAATGATGATATTGGCTTCAGAGGGTCATTATTTTGTCCATCTAATACCTACCTATCCCCTGGATCAGGAAGAAGTTCTGATCCAAGTGGGTCTGGATGCCTCTCAAGTCAGTACAGAGTCCCTAATCAGGAAGGAGTGTTCGATCAAAGACTTCAGGATGGCAATAACAGTAACCGTGGACTACAAAGGAACAATCCTGAAAGATCATTTAACTCATATGGTACATCAAGTCAAGGAAGTGGTTCAGGAAGATCTACTAATACACATGGTGTATCCAGTCAAGGACAGCAAGACAACTCTGCTTTTGAAGGTTATAAATATTAATACACGGTCGAATGATATATATGATTCAGTGTGACCAATTTAATTGCATGGATCAGGGAACACCAACCTTTTTTCTGGAGATAAGCAACAAGATGATTACAATTTCTAGCAGAAGAGTAATAATTACCATAAGTTAAATAACTACATTATGAATGGATTTACAGCTAAGTTTCTCACATAAAAACATTTTAATAACATTTTTTGGCACTAAAATATCACAAAAATAGCCTGTCTAAGAAATAGGCAACAAGTAATTTTGTTACAAGACGTTACCATTATTTATATAGAACACCCTCAATTTGACATCTGATCATAATCTAAACATTTACAGCTCCTTACCTTAGCACTAGGAAGAAATTCGGTTCATACAGAAATCACCACGCACCTTGTGATTATCAGTGACTAATCAAGAAATTACATTCTCAAATTATCACGAAGACAAACCCTTGGTGCCCTGAGGTGTGTAGTTACTGAGTGGCCAGAGTACTTATATCACATAATTGTATTTGAAACAATTGTTTTAAATATTTAATATCTTGTACAAGTTGTTATATATACCTTGAAGTTCTTAACAAGATAAAAACAAAGGCAAAAATTCTGAGGTTTGTATTTCACATTTCAAGTTCGGCAAAAATTCTGATCGGCCAATTCCACTTCCAAACTTACACTTAATGGAATATTTCAATATGAAACTCCAATAACATCTATTCATGAAGCAAACTCCACAAACAAGTTGCTCATAACGCACGTGAACAAAACAACAAAACGGTCTCTTTAAACTAAAAATAACTTATATTGCAGAAATAGAAAAAGGTGACCTTTTGGTGAAGGGTTAGTCATGTTTGTAAATAAAATACCCACATCCCCCTTTGACAAGTGGACACATTTATCTGAAATTATAGCATTCACATGACACACTCACATTATTTATATTATTTGTCATGCCATATAATCTCTTATCCATGTACGGATTTCAGGTACCAACACAGAAGCAGCTTTCAATTGGTGTCATAACTTAGCAAATGTGCATGTAAAAATGAGACAACTCTCACAGTGAACCTATCACCATCCACACTCATTACCCGTATCACATACAGGCATGGATTTCGGAGGAAATTTGGAATGTTAAGGAATTTTTTTATTGTTTCACTGAATTAACGAAAGCCCTCCACTGATCCCTGTCCTGGGCCAGTAAAATCCTATATGCTTACTGTGTCAAAATACATGCAAGTTATGCAAAAATGTCCAGCAAAACCCGGAAAATTTTGTACTTTGGATAAAATAGGATGTTATATACTGTATTTCTGTGTGTAACAAACGATACATAAAAAATTAGAAAACTCACAAGCACTATTTTGTAAGAAAAGTTTGAATAAAATAAAACAATTAAAATATTTTTAATTATTAAAATTTATACAAATTACAAAGTACTTTTTGCTTTTTTAAGGGATAAAATATTTCTAATTGTAAATCCCTAGTGACTGTAGTTAGTTTCTTGTGGAAATAAAGTTTGCAAGTCCTGTTCTCACAGGTACTGTACTTCATAATTGGAATGACCTGGTATTGGTGATGGGGTCGGGTTTGAGTAGTTTGGTAGAGACGTTAGGTCTTTTCAGAATAATTTATTGGATTGTTCCAATAAATAGAACTGTTTCCTTTCTAATACTGGTTTTAAAAGCTACTTAGGTTTATCCAAGACTAGAAACTGTTATTTACAGAGTTGTATTCAAAGGTGGGGCTTACAGGTTTATAGATTCCCACACTTGACAGATCTGGAAAGAAATGTAAAATGTTGCTTTTGCTGTCATTACGTTTTTACAAAAGGCAAAAGTTGATGACGAATTGGTTGGACCAGCATTTTTATCAACTGTAGTAAATTGTAAGTTTTCTTAATTAATTTATAAGAAAAAAATCCTGGTTTTAGTCCTACATATTCTACTACATGTATAGCGAGTAGTTTTAAATTAAGACAAAGACACTTAGAACTCCAAGTACCCATGGATCGAAGATTTCTGTCTTCTGGGTTGTTGTGCCTCCGTCATCTGGGCGATCGGCCTGGTGACGGAGGCAGTATGCCCTCTGATATGTTGGTAAACATCGACCAGACTACACAGCGCAACAAACCAGAAGACAGAAATCTTCATACTCACCGCTGTGAAAACCTCAAATCTTACCCATAGATCATTTCTCATTCACAAGATTATGTGTTTGTATCCAAACAGTGAATATAACACATTGGAACCTCAGGAGAACCTTGATTGTCCAGACCTAGTTCTTGACTTTGAGGATAATGGGGAAACGAGGGAAGGAACAAATAAGGAGAAACAAAACCAGAAACCTGGCACTCCTGTGGGTGACAGGAAACCTAGTGCCAAGAAGAGAGAGCATGTTGAGGTAAGCGACTTCAGTTGGTATTTTTAAAGTGTAGATTGTGAACTTCTTTGGTCACGAACAGAATTATTTTTGGCATGTCAGCTGAAGTGTTTTTATGCTACTGGTGATTCGTTTACAAGCTTGCAGTATCTTTTTAAAATAACCAGACAGCAAATAGGAGTCATAGTCAAAGAAGTCAGTGCAGAAATTGTATTGTGCAATTGTATGTGTTGGGTATTCAGTACTATTAATATGCTCGTCCAGATCCTTCAAAATATTCATCCTCTTGGGTCTTGGATAACACCGAATAGGACCTCGGTGTAATAACATTACATATTCCCATTTGCACTCGCACGATCTCATAACTTATGTCATAACTTATGTCATTATATTTAAAATACTAATTAAATTATTGACAGATACTGATCACAAATATTTTAACTTGCGCTGCACCTGCATATCTGATCTTCTGTCGATAAACCAGGATACACATTCTGCCTTCTCCTGTGGAGTAGCCATTTCCCTTATCTGATAATGTAATACAGCTGTTCTCATCCTCAGCCATCAACTCTGAAATGGGTCTTCTTCCAGGGCGTCGTTGTTTTGGCTCTTCCACTGACAGATCGCCTCGCCGTACGGTAACTACTGAAGTTGTCACTGGCGATGAGGGGCAGCTGAAATATGACAACACAATACATTTAATCCAGCCACTGAACCAGCAACATGCAACGACTCCAGCTAGACACCATCAACTTGTATAGAACAAAATAATGTTAGAGGAAGAACAAGACTTGAGTTAGTTATACAAATTCTACCTTAGGCATCATCCATTATCCAGGTATATATGACAAACACTATGTCTTTGGCATACAGCCAACTCTCAAAATATCTAATACACCTAAGACAATGGACAATATCGAACACAGTATTCATATAATGAAACAACAAATGTCATAAATCTTGAAAGAATCACTCAAATTAATATAGGCTACAAACTTAAGCTGTAAAATTCAGACAAGTATACAGTACACCCAGGAGAGCTCAGTCAGTACAATAACACTGAGTCCCATTCAGCCCTCTATCTAACAGGTTTTTTGGTTCTTTCCCCAGGGTAAGAATAGCGACAGCTTGAAGATGACCAATCATGTCCACATATTATCAAGTTAAAAATACAAGGAATTGTACCTCCATAAACATTCAAGCACAGGAGCAACTGTAAATGTACACAATAAAATACCATCACATTTCCAGACTAATTCTTTCAGTGCTACAATCCAACGTAACACCAAGACAAAAATAAAATATTCACTTGTTGATCTTTAAAAGTCCACCATGGATACTCTAAAGAAAGGGAATGGCTTCAATGCAAAGATGCTCATACCACATTTCACAAAATTCTCAAAACTGGTTCAAGAGTTGAAGATGGTTGTCTTCTGGAATGTAGCAAAATGCAGTCTGGTAGGTAATAGTTTATGTTTCAAAAAAGCTCACTGCCTTCAACACATCCCAAAAGATACCCATCTGTAAGAACCTCACATCTCATCTAGTTCAAAAGTTAAAAGGTGGGAAAGACAAAAAAGTGAGCACATGCATTTCTTTCCTGTTCATAAATTACAGGAGGATAAACAAAAAGTACACCAGAGTAATATCGGACTGTACAAACCTGGAGGAGGGGCTGGAGGTGGGGCAGCAGCAGATGCTGCCGCACACACACGTGCACATGTTACACGGACTCTGGTAACCATACTGGCCTGTCTGATCATAGCTGGAAAGCGTTTGTTGCTGCTTCACTGTATTCACTATTACCATACATATCAGACCTGTAACATAGGCACCTAAGGTTTATAATTCATTACACATCCATTACATTAAGAATGTCCACTACCTGGCATGGTAATATCACTACTTCCACCTCTCATGTTCATCTAACTGATGGTAAGAAATTAAAACATATAGAAGAATGACCACTAGTGGGATGAAGTTTGTACCTAGTTTCATGAATATATCCAAAATGGTTATAAAGCCATTAAGTGGAGACACACAAACACATGGACATGATGCAACATAAGCTTTATCAAGTAATAAAATTAAGCGGAAACTGGAAATAAAAAACAAAGAAAAGAATTCCTGACATGCCCTGTATGCAGCGGGGTGGCAGGCTGATTGCTGTAGGGGGTGTAAGAGGTGTATGGCTCCTGCAATTCTGTCCCACTTCCATCTAGTGGTGTCATTGGTGACTCATATTCTGGTGGTGGAGGATCATCCATCCGAATCCGCTTCCCTCCTCATCGCTGCATCCTAGGTGACTGTTACTATAATCACCTGAAAACACAAAGCACTACAGACTTAAAATATTTATAAAAACTCTTTTTCATGCCACATTGGCATGGTTCAGTTAAAGTCTGCAGTGTCAAGTGATATGCATTCAAATGCAAAATTCCTCATTCTGGCAACCGCATCATTATTCTTATGACTGGGTTATGTCCATAAAAATTTAAGACATTACCTTACTACAATGCACTAAAAATACCTTTGCATTTTTATAAGTTTTACTTCCACAATGTTCTCACATACTTATACTATTTTTACTGAAGTATATGTATACAACTATTCATACGGTACTGATTTCTTTGTGTAGCAAGCCCTAATCAGAATGGGCTTTTTAAAAATGAAAGCTGGTCATGGGCACTACTTCTACTAGCCGAAAATACTTTGATTCTAAGGTTTAAATATTCCATTCATAACTGATCTGTATAAAACAAGTTTCCCGACAAACTGTATCCCCCACAAGTAAGTAAAGTAAAGTAAAGTGTGTCCCACTACACGTCATGCAGGCGCTTTGGGGGAGTATAGCTCCTCTCTTCCTTGACCTCAGCACTAGATGGGGGTGAGTGGTCAGCATCACGCCCCGGCCGGCTTTACCCCCGGGAAAGGACCCCGGTACCCATTGTAGAGGAGGCTGGGTGGGCCCCAGAGCCGATCTGGGCGCAGAGGCTAGAGGAAAAATCCTCTGCCCCCGTCGGGGATCGAACCCCGGCCGTCCAGCCCGTAGCTAGTCACTATACTGACTGAGCTATCCCCCACAAGGGAAATAAGAAAGATATAGAGACAGGTTTGTCAAATTGCTTCATGAAGAAATTGAGGACAAAAGAATATTCAAAGTTCTCCCACAAGGCTTTGGACAATAAAAAAGGTTACAAATATGATTACGCACTTCTTACAAATCAAGTACACATAATAAAGTATAAAATCATTATCCACACTCAGTATTACACACCTAATTTAAAAAGTTACAATTTTGTTGGGATTTAACAACAACACGGCACCATTACCGCTCAAACCAGGGATACTAGTATAGCCACAGGTCGTGGCTTGGAATTGATCGAAAAAGTTTCAGCTGCCCCAAGATAACGTTCGCCACCAGAGCGCACGCAGTATGACTAACTTCTTCAGAATCTTATAACCTCAATGATCTAATGATGACATGAGCGTAATGTCTAAATTAAACTAAATTATAAACCGCCGAATTAAACAAACACAGAAGCCAAAAATTAATAGACGAGAACGCCGAAAATGACATACAAACGGCTTCCTATTAGATTTACTTCGTGGCATTTTGTATACATCGTGCACACTGCATGAAACAAATCCTATTGTATGTGCAGTAATTCGTCATAGACCGATGTGCAGGTGCTTACCTAATGCAAATGAACCAAGAACTGACCACCCAGAAAGCCTAAATTTTATGTAGACACACGTGTCTACCCTAACAATCTAACCTAGCCCAACAGAGATATACGCGGGATAAATGGGTAGATATCAAACTTTAAACCAAAAGCCGAATATAGGCAATTACATTGTATTTGAAATTCTAAATACAATGCCAACATCAACATGGATTAGTCCACCAACAATAAAGCAAACGTGGGATATAACATTGAATTCAGACCAACAACAAAACAACTCAATGATGCTATGTTCAAAACAGCCACCACTACATAAAAATTAAAAAAATTGTTTAAAATTACTAACCACTGGTTTTGAAGGTATTCGATGAGTGTTATTCTTCTGTGACGCGGTGTTGAGGTTGGACGACGGCGGCGGTTTTACAGTCCACAGATTAATTCTCTTGATGCACAGCAAATATTTCAGATATGATTATTTACCGACGTGGCTGATTATCATGTAAAATAAGGACACAATAGACGTCAGTTCGTATGTGAAACGTTTTATCCCCTTTGTTGCAGAAACCCGCATTGTTATATGGCTATTTGTCTTTTGTTATTTGTTCATTGTCATGAAATCTCACGGCGCACAGTGGGATAGATTACGATTCTAGCCGGAAAAAATCGAAATTTGATTTTTTTTAATCTGAATATTGAAAATGAAAATTCTGACAGCAAAAAGTGTGATACATTAGTTTGTAATAAATATTAAGTAGTTTTATGTGTAAAAAGGGCGAAATACGCCTCTAAATACGGGAAAATAATGCATTCAAGTCAAGTTAGTAGAAACAAATATCACTACAATACAAATATAATTATAAAAGCTACTCTACTTTCGAAAACACAACATTAATACATAAATATTTAACTCAGAGCATTATTCATGTCAGTATTCTTAATCGGAACAGACATCCGAAGCATCCGAAGAGCTGTATCATTCCTCGTCCTCATGTTGTTGCTTATCGGTATCAATATCTTCATTGTCATGAAATCTCACGGCGCACAGTGGGATAGATTACGATTCTAGCCGGAAAAAATCGAAATTTGATTTTTTTTAATCTGAATATTGAAAATGAAAATTCTGACAGCAAAAAGTGTGATACATTAGTTTGTAATAAATATTAAGTAGTTTTATGTGTAAAAAGGGCGAAATACGCCTCTAAATACGGGAAAATAATGCATTCAAGTCAAGTTAGTAGAAACAAATATCACTACAATACAAATATAATTATAAAAGCTACTCTACTTTCGAAAACACAACATTAATACATAAATATTTAACTCAGAGCATTATTCATGTCAGTATTCTTAATCGGAACAGACATCCGAAGCATCCGAAGAGCTGTATCATTCCTCGTCCTCATGTTGTTGCTTATCGGTATCAATATCCGGTTTCTTCAATGATTTGAGTACTTCAGAAGGTAAATGTGGCTTCCTCGCTCTTGAGGCCTGTTTAATCTTCGGTATTAAAGGATCAGAAAAACCAGTAACATGTGCAGGACATTTTCGAAATTTCGTTCGCGCGAACATTTCCTGGCGTGATCGAGTCTGTATCTTCGCACATCTTTGTGCCTGCCCTCCTGGGCATCTTCAGATAACAATCCGATAGGCAGATTCTATAATT